TTGGCCAATCTTCAGTAGTGAGTATAAACCTCAACAGCACAGCCCTGGCTGGTTTGGCTCAGCAGTTAGAGCCTCAGCCCAAGGACCAAAGAGTTGAGGGTTTGATTCCTGGTCAAGGGCAAATACCTCAGTTGCGGGTTTGATCCCCACCCCCAGTCGGGGTCATGAGGGAGGCGACCAGTTGATGTGTCTCTCTCATGTTGATGTTTCTCTCTCTCTCTCTCTCCTCCTTCCCCTCTCCCACTCTATCTAAAAAATATCAGTGGAAAGATATCCTTGGGTAAGGATTAAAAAATATTAAAACTCAACAGTACAAAATAGCCACTTGATTTGCCAACATTTTTTGGATTTTTTTTCCTTAATGGTTTTTCCATTTGCTCTGCCAAATTAAACTTTAGTGGTAAATTTAAATGTGTCTTTAAAATGTCATTTATCAGCCAGCTCCTTGGTTACTATCATACGTTAGTTATTGGAGTGTGAATTGAACTATATGGAGGGAACAACAGACCAGACTACAAGTCAACCACATGGCGTCCAAGTTACATGACACAATAACTCAAAGGGGTGAACAACTACCTTGAATCTTGTGGCTCATCAGAAAGACCTTTCATTAGACCCACGTGTGCTTTTAGAAGAGTTCTGGGAGCATCTCTCTTTTTTTTAAATGTTGTTTTTTTCCTTTTATTAATTTTAGAGAGAAAGTGAGAGGGAGAGAGAGATGGAAATATCTATGAGAGAGGACATCGATTGGCCAGCTCCTGCATGCCCCCCACTGGGGATTGGGCCTACAACCTGGGCATGTGCCCTGACCAGTAATCGAACCGGTGACCTCTTAGTGCATGGGTCAACACTCAACTATTGAGCCACACTGTCCAGACATCTAGGAACATCTTATACTTGTCAGACATGTTCAAGTGACAAACACTCAGGACTAGTACTAATTAGAATTTATGAATTGTGCACATTACCATCTGTTATCTTTGTATTGAATTATCTAAACCAGGGAAAATTTTACTAGTCCAAAACAAATGCCCCTCCTCCACACACACACGTGACTCTCCTCAAAAGCTGTCAAACTAAGTTTGATTTAGTTGTTTCTTCATTTTCCGTCTTTGTCTTTACATCTTTGTCCAAAGTTCAATAGCTGCAAATAGGGACCGAGTGTCAATGATTTTATATATATTCTTCAACCTAAGAATGAATACACACACACACACACACTTAAAATTAATGAATTTTATCCATTACATTGACTTAAAAGGGATGATATAAATAAAAACTGAGGCTTCATATGGTCCAGGTGAAGAACAATATGAAAAATTTCTAAGAATAAAACAACAACAGCCCTGGCCGGTTTTCTCAGTGGTTAGAGCGTTGGCCTGTGGTCCAGAGAGACCCGGGTTCTGTTCCCGCTAAGGGCACATGTACCTCAGTTGCAGTTTGTCCCCAACTCTGGTTGGGTCGTGAGGGTGGCAACCACTCAATGTGTCCCTTTCACGTCGATGTTTTTTTTTTTCTCTCTCTCTCCCACTCTATCTGAGCAAAAAAAAGAAAAAATGTCCTCGGGTGAGGATAAAAAAACAAAAAACAAAACAACAACAACAACAACAAAAAGTCTTCCATATCCTTTTTACTCAGGGACCTCATTCCAGTTTTACCAACTACCCCCAGGCTCTGATAGCAAGAGGACTGCACATCCATTTGGCGTGTCACCCTAGGCTCCCTCAGCCTCCGCTGCCTTTTTGAAGATTATAGGGCAGTCATTTTGCATTATGCCCTTCAACTTGGGTATATGTCATCCTTTCTCCTGACACAAGCCAGGTTAAGTTTTCAGCAGGAAGATCTCAGAAGAGATGCTGTGTTCTTCTCATTGTATCCCACTGTGGGGCACAATATCAACTTGTCCCGTTAGTGATGGTATTAATTTTGATTATGTGATTAAGATGGTGTCTGCCAGGTTCCTCCACCATAAATTTATTTTTCCTCATTTGTAATAAATAATAATAATATTATTTTTTGTACGTGCCCCTAGCGGGAAGCAAAACCGGACTCTCTGGTCCGCAGGCCGACACTCCAACTGCTGAGCCAAACTGTCTAGGGCATAAATATTTCATGTGGAGACACGTTTAAGTCTATATGAGTATCTTACTTCTCATCTCACTAACACCTGCTAGTTTTAGCACCCATGCCGATATTTCTTGCCAGAATTAAATATTTTTATGGTGATTTCCAAACTGCAATTTTCTGATTCCAGTATTCCTCATGTATTAATTCTACTTTAAGGAATAACTTTCTTATCTTCCCATATATTTGTTCATATATTTATTGCTCTCAATGTGGACTCATTGATTCCTGTTTTGATCAATGGATTATAACCCGTAGTGTCACTAATTATTTTGACACCCAGATTGTATCGTATTTGAATAGTGGGAGTTCCTTCAAATGACTTCTGGGTCCTTTTAACACGTTCCCTACCACACTCTGAGCATTATCCGAGTTGTTCTTCACAATGTATGTTCCAGGCTTACCTTGCCCTTCCCCTACCCCATTCCTGGAATCAGCCAATTTTCCAAGGAGCCTTGGTGCCTTTCAGTGGAGATTGTGAAGCCAAGATCTAGGCACTAGGCATGCTCACTGCTACTGGGTACATTGCCATTCCCTGGCCATCTCGGCAGAAAGAACTAGAAATGATATGTGTGCGCAGGCATACACACATAAACACCCCTTTATTTATAATTATTTCTGTATCTGTCTATATATATGAACAATTTGTACTTATTCCTCCACTTCCACTCAATACCACAAGGTTCATTGGCGCTTTCCTTCTTTCCATATTGCTACTTCTCTTCGTCAGTAAGAATCCCGACTCCCATTATCCTCCATATATTTGCTCAATCCCTTGTCTGTAGCCAATCCTGTGATGATACCGGGCTGCTATCCTCACAAGGGCCACCATGACTTCCCCACTCAGGTCCACCCCATGACCTTTGGACAGAATTGGGAAGGAAGGAAGAAGGGAGGAAGGGAGGAAGGAAAGAAGAAAGAAGTTTATTTATTTTAAATTGAGGTATCATTAACATATAAAATGCACTGATCTCAAATGTTCAGTTGGATGAGTTTTGACAATTGCATGAACCCAAGTGACATCTAAAATAAAATATAGACTATTTGCACCCCTCCAGATGGTTCCCCCAGGTGAGGAAGTACATCCATCAGCGGGCATCATGAAAACCCCTCCCCATGGCTGATCCTATCAATGGCTATCACTCAGATTGCAGCTGCTGCCAAAAATGTTCTCTCCTCAATGTCAATGATGTTTGGTTTCTCTCTCTCCATCCACCACAGAGCTTTTCCATGTAGAACAATGTGTCTCCTCTTCACTTGTTTTGTCTCTTTCTCACCCACTGAAGGAATTCTCCACACTAGCACGAAGCCTGGGAGTGATCTAGTGATCTAGAAAACAAGAATCCTTTGCATGTTTGACCATGTGGAGTGTGTGCGTGTGTGTGTGTGTGTGTGTGTGTGTGTGTGTGTGAGAGAGAGAGAGAGAGAGAGAGAGAGAGAGAGATTGGGATTTAATCACAAAAGGGGAAGGACCGCCATTATTTTATATTAGTAGCAGTACACTCTTCTTCTTATCGTGGGACACAATGTTCATTAGAAACATCTTTGAAGAAGCACTGCCCGACAAGAACATTTCTTAAACTGATGTGTCTGAAGGAACTTTAGACCTGTGGCTATAAACCAAGACCACCCCAGTGAGAACAAGCCAAGGCTATTTATTCCGAGTTTGCAATAGCCAGGGAGTCAGCCATCATCATCTGTGTCTGGCGGAGACTCAAGGTCAGTTCGAGGAAAGGGAAAGCTTTATAACGGACAAGGGTGGAAGGTTCCAAGTATGCCGGGCTGGGGCTGGCTGGGATGGGGAAGATGGAGGTGGACTAAGTAGAGGCCAGGCAGCCTGTGTGATTGGTTAGAACATATTTGGTTTTTCTGGTTGGTCCTAAGTTGGGCCAATAGCTACAGAGGTTGTGATTTGGCGTCCTGGATTGGCTGCTACAGAGATATTGGTCAGCAGCATACTATTTTTATATACTGTCTGGCCATTGTTCATCTGTATATTCAGTTTCTTAGGGCAAATGAAGTATGAGAGAACTGGAATCATGAATGGTCTCCTCTGATCCTTCTCCATCAACATCATCGCCATTCTCTCCTCCTACTCAACTCATTTTCTTCTTTGAGTCCCAGTCAACTTTCCGATCTCTCAAACAGATCTAGAAATCTGTCTAGACAGATCTAGGAAGTATTAAGAATTCATGAGCAAGACTTTGTGTTGCTTTGATGTGAGCGGATTGAGGATTCAAGGATAGCTCTAAGGTCATAACTGGAGCTCCCAGGAGGATCTTGTTACCGACTGCCGGTAAAAGAGGAATCTGGAAGAAATGATCATTGTGTGAGAGAATGACGAACTCAGTTTTTTAGGCATTTAGGCACATAGATGCCTCTGTGATATTCTTTAGAATTATACATCTAGAAACTGGAGTATCATTTTAGAGGTATGAAGACTGAAACCCAGAAAATAAGAGATGGTCCTAAGTTTATATACCAAGGCTGCGGGTGAAGCAGTCAGTTCAGTCTTTGGGTGACCCAACCACTCTGAACACAAACACAGGATGGAGAACGAGAGCTATGGACCAAAGACCCAGCAATGTAGGACTCACCAGGATTCTACTAGTGGAAATAATGAACTGTTCTGTGCCTTTAACATACATGTTAGGAAGATAGAAACCATCAACCAAAGATTTCACAACAGACCCACAGAAGTGGAAAGTAAATGATTAAAGAATGTAGAGCTCAGAGTTCCTTTCAAATCCTGATACTTTATCTTCTATTTACAGAGATAAAAGTACACAAAAATGGTTAATAGTTAAGCAGTTTTATATGCGCATCTCTCTGGGTAGAGGAAGCCACTGTGGCAGTGCCAGGGAGAACCATCCACGATGATTTCTCCAGCCTTCATCTTGGTCTCCAGTTTTCTATACCATGTGGCTATTGCAGGACGGAGTAAGTACTCTCTGCTTTTGCAAAAATAATTGATGTATCCAACCCCCTGGCATATGCTGGGAATCGCTAATGATAACATCAATTCTCTTTAGGGTAGATGCTGGAGAGACTAGATTGATACTTATTTTTTAATGTTGCCATGTTTAAAGCTCCTCCAGAAGATCCTTAGACAATCTAAGCCTCAGTGTACTGACCTGTACAATGGGGATAACAATAGTATCTTTCAAAGGGTTGTTGAGGAGATTAGATGAGATATGGCACAGGACTTGGGAGAGTTACTTTTGGGCAGCATTAATGAGTTTAAATTTCTATGCCAGCTAAACTTAAAAATGCACGTACAGATTTCTTAACCAACTGCTTTGTGCTCTATTTCAGCCTGTCCCAGACCAGAGACTTTACCGTTTGCCACAGTTACTCCCTTAAAAACATTCTATGATCCAGGGGAGCAGATAACATACTTCTGCCAGCCAGGCTACATGTCCCGGGGAGGGATGAGACGGTTTACCTGCCCCATCTCCGGAATTTGGCCCATCAACACGCTGAAATGTATACGTAAGTCGGTGCCTTGCACATTCCCTCCCCTCCTTTGGATTCTGGACATTTTGTGGGGGAATAACCTACCTTACTGTGTTCAGGCTGCAGAGGGCCAGCAGAGCTGTGGGGGTGGAGGGCTCTGAAGAAACAAGGGGGCCTGGGGCTCTCTCATGGGCTCTGAGACCAAGGGCAGTAGTACTATTTAGAGAAAGGGAGACAAGCTTAGCCTGGAACTGGGAGAGATGTAAAAAGGAAATCTGTTATCAGTAAAGGAGGGGAAACACTGCAGGAGTGAATAAAGAAGTTTAGCTACTCTGAAATTTAAACAAATGCAGGCAACCCTTGAAAAAATAAGACATAAGAAATCATCATATCTCTGGACTTTGCCTCAAGGTGAAAGCAGATTTAATAGTTACTGAAATGACAATAACTTTCATCTAAATTATGTATATGTGACATGTTACATTTATAGTGAAGTATAAATATATTATAGATTATATTACATTAGTATTATAACATAAATTATATACGTTTGTATCTCATTATTGCTTTATGATAGATGGTTGCTTTTATTCGTCCTCAGAATATAGGTCTGTGATATCAAGCAGGCATTATTTTTACAGCCAGATATTGAGCAATCTACCGGATAGAATTTCTGGCAATTTTACATGGAAGTTAAGCCCTAAAAATAACTATATGGATCTATCTAGCCTCTGGTTATTTTGGTCCTATGGACATGACCTTTGTGAAAATTATACATGTTCATACAAGTGATTTTAATATACTCTTCAATGAAAAAAGACCAAACATGATTTTTAGTGAAAAATCACTATAACATCAATAGAGAAATTTTTTCTCTAAATTGGCCATAATTCTAGAACCCTAACAATTTCATTTTTCAAGTTATTTTTCATGTGTATATTTTTGCATTATTGCAAAGACAAGACACCATTTTGTGTTTTCTTATTTTCACCAGCTTATCAAAAACATCGACTATATCTCTATGGTCTTCAGAATCAAAATTTCATTGGCTGCCTTATAGATAGTTCAACTGCTGATTTACCTTCACTAATTAAAACAATACCCCAGTAGTGAACTTTTAGGCTGTTCTGTTTTTGTTATTAGAGGTAACTGCGTAATGAACACGTTAATGAATATATCATTTGATTTACTTGAGTTATTTTCTTATAATAGTTACTAGTAGAGTTATTGGAGCAAAGGTTAAAAATAAGTTTATATATTTTTATTTTAATAGGAAATTCTATAATTAGATATTTACCCTTTTATCTTTAAATCACAGCCAGACAGTGTCCTTTTGCTGGGATCTTAGAAAATGGAGCTGTACGCTATACAACTTTTGAATATCCCAACACAATCAGTTTTGCTTGTAACACTGGGTAAGGACTTGCGGGTGACTGACTAGCTAACAGATGAAGTGCATGTCTATGTCCTTAAGCTAAACATCAAATCTAGTCCGTGCTTTATTTCTAGTCTTGGACTTGCTGAATACAAATCACTGAATACAAATACACAGTGGTGTTGAGGGTGGGTAAGGGGTGGACACTATGATAATCACTGAACTGTATTTAATTTTTCTGTTCCTGATTAGTTACTTACCTGAGGAGATACATTAACATGATTGAAACTGGATGAAACTTTCTTATAATGCCTGGGCCAAATCTTAGCATGAGGATTAAAATATTTTAGGACTTGGAGTTGGGCTTTAGCTATGAGGCTAACTTATCGACGGACCTGGCAGTCTCTAGAAGAGAGTTCTGTGGAGCAGGTTGGGAGTATGAAAATGTAGACCACAGTTCTCTTCATTGTCAATGCAGTACAGCACCCCCAGGTGGGAAGCACTGTGGTTGGTAATACAGCTCATCTGCCTGATGAGCACAGACGCCATTGGTGCCATCGGCAGCAGTACGTTGGCTGTGGTAGAGTCAGGCAGACCTTACTGAGGACCCTTGTTTGGGATTGGAGATTAAGAAACACAGTGTGTGAAAAGCAATGCAGTCCTTTCGTCTGAAACACAAATGACTGGTGGGTCTGATGACAAACAACATAGAAAAAGACTGGTGCGGGCTGGTGTGGCTCAGTGGATTGAGCAACGTCCCAGCGATTGAGAGGTTCGGGTTCGATTCCTGGTCAGAGCACATGCCCGATTGCGGGCTCAATCCCCAGTAGGGGGCGTGCAGGAGGCAGCTGATCAATGTTTCTCTCTCATGGGTGTTTCTATCTCTCTCTCCCTTCCTCTCTCTCTCTCTCTAAAAAAAATCAATAAAAACTTATTTTTTTTTTTAAAGAAAAAGATTAGCTTCAAGGAAAGAATGTTACATTTTTAATGAAAATAGACTGCATTGGTTTTTTGTTTGTTTCAAATCTTTTTATTTTTATTAAAAAAATTTTTTTTACATCTTCACCCAAGGATATTTTTCTATATATCTTCAGATAGAGAGGGAGGGAGGGAGAGGAAGAGAGAAACATCCAGTGGCTGCCTCCTGCATGACCCCAACCAGGGCCAGGGAAGAACCGCAACCAAGGTACGTGCCCTTGACCAGAATCAAACCTGCAACTTATTGGTCCACAGGCCAATGCTCTAACCACTGAGAAAACCAGCCAGGGCAATCTTTTTTTATTTTTCAATTACAGGTGTACAACATAGTGATCAGACATTATATAACTTACGAAGTGATCACCCTGATATTAGACTGCATTGTTTTTACACATTTGTGTCAGTATCCCCTCAGAAAAATGAATACTAGAGATTACTCAGTTTAACTCATTTTGTGATCCTGACAAAGAAATGTTTTTTTTTTTGCTTCACAAGAGAATCAGTTAATTTATCCAGCTGGTTGGAGATGAGGGACTGGGGGTTTGGCTTCTACGCCCACCAGCTGTGGAGCCTCTCACTCTGGAGAGATTCCTCTACAGTGTTATGCGGGGGGACTTGCACCTTAGATGTGCGTTAAGCTCTCTGGGAAAACCACATTATGGGAATGAAGCCAATAGTATTAATCTAAAGTAATACTCAATGGAGAAGACATTTGAGATGCTCTTGGTGGATTACTTTCCTGCTTGATGGATTAAATGTTCCTTTTGCAGGTTTTATCTGAATGGACCTAGCTCTGCTAGATGCACCGAGGAAGGGAAATGGAGTCCAGACCCTCCTGTCTGTGCCCGTGAGTCTGTGGGTCCCACTTACGGGGAAGGTGACAGGTTGGTTTGCCTGGGAATTTTCTGGTTTCAACACTATAAGTCTCATGCCCGGGAAACCCTTCTGTCTCAGCTTCTTGAGATGATTGGTTCCTTATGGGGAATGTTCATCGTGATAAAAATTTCCTCTGGAGGAGGAAACAACAACTTTGGAATGACAAAAGGGAAGCATTCTACTCATGAACACATTTTGTATCCTCTACCTAAGGGCGCCAGTGATCTCCGGGTTTACGAATTCCAGTATTCCCACAATGTTTTGGCTGGGGCTTGGATACGTGTGGCATTGGTCTATGAGGGACTGCCACCATCTGACTAGAAGAACTTCTGGATCAAACACCTTCTTCCCCCTCTGGAACCTCATTCATTCATGTACTCATTCAGCAAATATATATGGAGGACCTAATATGAGCTACATCCTGTTTTCAACATTGAGGCTGCAAAGCTAAGGGAAACTTAGCTCTGCTCTCAGCAACTAAGTCTAGTGATGAGGGAGACAAGGAAGTCACCTTCCCAGTGAGCTGAGGGTCCATCCAAGGGCCCTGCATCCTAAAAGCTCATGGAGTTTCCGCCAGGAGGCTCTGCTGATTAGGTTTGTTCAGGGGATGCTTAGCCGAGCAGTCAGGGGGGACATTCCCTACCTGGTGATTTATGTAAGTCCAATCATTGACCAAGAGGCCTGGGCATTGTAATAATAGTTATGAATTTTTAACATTTCATTGAGGTGTGTCCTAGCAAAAGAAGTGGAAAAGTAAAGTGATTTCAAATAAACAATAATTTGAGAAACACTGAACTACAAGAAAAAATTTTAAGGATAAATTAAGAAGAATTTTTTTACTCAGCTATAAGCACCATCATAGTTCTTTTTTTTTTTAATCTTTATTGTTGAATGTAGAATGCATTACAGATGTTCCACATTTTCCCCCCATTGGCCCCCTCCTCCCCACTCTCGCCCCCCTCCCACCTTTTCCCACACTATTGTCTGTGTCCATTGGTTATGCATATAAGTTCTTTGGTTTATTTCTTCCCACCCCCCCAACCCCTTTCCCTTTGAGCAATGAATCTGTACTTCTTAATCCCTTCACCTTTTTCACCCATTCCCCCAACCCCCCTCCCATCTGGCAACCAACAAAATGTTCTCTGAATCTATGAGAATGTTTCTGTTCTACCTGTTCATTTTGTTTGTAGATTCCATTGCCGATAGATATGTATTCATTGCCATTTTGTTTGTTCATACATTTTATCTTTTTCTTCAAAAAGACCCTTCATCATTTCATATAATAACGGTTTGGTGGTGATGAACTCCTTTAACTTTTTCTTGTCTGGGAAACTCTTTATATGGCCATCGATTGATTCTAAATGACAGCTTTGCAGGATAGAGTAATCTTGGTTGTAGGTTCTTGCTTTTCATCACTCTGAATATTTCTTGCCACTCCCTTCTGGCCAGCAAAGTTTCTTTTGAGAAATCAGCTGACAGCCTAATGGGAACTCCCTTGTAGGTAGCTAACTGCCTTTCTCTTGCTGCTTTTAAGATTCTCTCTTTGTCTTGAACCTTTTGCATTTTGATGATGATGTGTCTTGGTGTGGGCCTCTTGGGGTTCATCTTGTTTGGGACTCTCTGTGCTTCCTGGACTTGTATGTCTGTTTCCTTCACCAAGTTAGGAAAGTTTTCTGACATTATTGTTTCAAACAGGTTTTCGATTTCTTGTTCTCGCTCTTCTCCTTCTGGTACCCCCAAGATGCAAATGTTGGCACGCTTGAAGTTGTCCCAGAGGCTCCTTACACTATCCTCATTTTTTTGGATTCTTTTTTCTTTTTGCTGTTCTGATTGGGTGTTTTTTGCTTCCTTATATTCCAAATCGATGGTTTGCTTCTTGTATTTACGTACTCTACTATTGAATCTGTGTAAATTATTCTTTATTTCAGTTAATGCCTCCTTCAATTCTGACTGTGCATCCATCATTTCTGACTGGTCCTTTTTTAGGCTCTTGAGGCCCTCACTAAGTTCACTGAGGTTCTCACTGAGTTCATTGAGCATCCTTATAAGCAGTATTTGAACTCAGCATCTGTTAGGTTGCTTATCTCCATTTCGCTTAGTTCTTTTCTTGGGGTTTTGTTCTGTTCTTTCATTTGGGACCTGTTTCTTTGTCTCCTCATTTTGGCTGCCTCCCTGTGTTTGTTTCAGTGTATTACTTAACGAGTGGTATGGGGCTAGCTGAGACCAGATGCTGCTTGTTTGAAAGAATTTAGGAAAAACCTGAAGCAGGATCCAAGACAGGCCAATCCTATGGTCAAGCAAGTGGCAACAGCTTGGGTGGGCCTGAAAGTTGGGTGGGGTGGGGAGGGGCCTCAGGGAGTCACCAGGGTGGGGCTACCAGTGTGAGCCAGGTTGCTGGAGTCCCAGATATGGCTTCTGTCTGCCGCCCCAGGGAAGGGCTCACCAAAGGAACAAAGGCTTCTGACAGCACGTTTGTCCCGAGGAAGCCCCCTCTCCAGCCCTCGTCCTAAGGCCAGACAGCTCTGTTCTTCCCTGTATGTCTCTGGCGCCCCTCGAGCTGCCTCCCCTCCAAGCTTAGAGGGAGAGAGTCCGTGTGCGGGCCCTTTAAGGAGTTGCCTGGGGCTCCAGCCGCCTCAGCCTCCCTGAGCCTCAGTTCCCGCTGGTTTTTCCAGCCAGAAGTGATGGGGATTCTCTTCCTGGCACTGGAACTCTGAGCGGGGCACCTGGTGTGGGACGGGGACCCCTCAGTCCTCAGGGAGGACCTTCCCAGCCGAGGTGTCCTCCTGATTTTTATCCGCCACACGTGGGTGTGGGACCAGCCTGTCCCCTCTGCCCCTCCTACCAGTCTCGATGCAGCTGCTGCTTTAATTCCGTAGTTGTAGGACTTCCATTCAGCTCCATTTCAGGCGGTTTTGAATGATGGTTGTTCTGTAGTTTAGTTGTAACTTTGATGTGGTTGTGGGAGGATGCGATACCGCATTTACCTACGCCGCCTTCTTGACTGGAAGTTCCATTATGGTTCTTATAGTTTCCTTTAAAAAAAAAAATTCTTTTCTTTATTGATTTTAGAGAGAAAGGAAGGGAGAGGGAGAGAGATAGAAACATCGATGAGAGAGAACATTGATCGGCTGCCTTCTGCATGCCCCACACTGAGGATCTGGCCCACCACCTGGGCATGTGCCCTGACCAGAAATAGAACCGGCAACCTCTTGGTGCATGGGTCAATGCTCAACCACTGAGCCACACTGGCTGGGCTAGCTTCACTTTTTAAGCAGATTTATATCTACTTTGTAAAGTCATTTTTTTTTTTTTTTTACAAACAGACTACATCAGCTTAAATCTAACCTAAACAAGTGCTTCTCATACTTTAATGTGCATACGAATCACCTGGGAGTCTCATTAAACTGTGTGTACTCACCAGGCAGGGGAGGGACCACAGTCACCGAGGTGGTTCCCCAGGGCGGGCTTGTCCATTGCACCCGGGACGTGCTAACCCTTGCGATCTCCCCAAACATGGATAACTCCACTGCATCATTTGTGGTTAGGGGGGGACTGTGTTCACACTCTCCTCTGCAAAAAAGAAAAAAAAGAAACACAGTTTCTGATCCATGGGTCCTCGATAGGACCTGAGCTTCTGCATTTCTAACAGGCTTCCAGGCAGTGCTCAGGAGGCTGGTCCGTGGATCACATGTTGAGACTCTAGATAATTCAAGTTCAATCACATTTGGGTCTGTACTAACTCCCATTATGTTAATGTAATTTTCCCTGGACTTGCTCAACCTTCCTATTAGCAGGTCGGGATGACAACCTAGACCATTTCTCCGTGGGAGCTCCTTGGCTTTTTTTTTTATCCTTACCTGAGGACATTTTTCTATTTTTTGTTCAGATAGAGTGGGAGGGAGAGAGAGAGAGAGAGACAGAGAGAGAGAAACATCAATGTGAAAGGGACACATTGAGTGGCTGATCCTGCACAACCCAACCAGGGCTGTGGACAAATTGCAACCGAGGTATGTGCCCTTAGCGGGAACTGAACCCGGGTCTCTCTGGACCGTAGGCCAACGCTCTAATCGCTGAGCCAAACTGGCCAGGGCCGTGGAAGCTCCTTGGATAAGCTCCAGCGTGCAGCAAAGCAAGAGGTATTCAACAGGAATGATGCACCTATGCTAGCAGTGGCTCTCAGAGGTCACATGCGACTTTGCACTGAGTCGCTGTCATCAGCAATGATTACAGGATGGCCCCTCAGCAATGTCGTCCCCTGACTCTGACTTCCGGAAACATCTTCCGAAGGAGCGTTGGGACCCAAGGCTCGTGGAAACCTAAGCACTGTGTTACTGTAACAGGCAAATTCCCGATGGCAACACTCAAATTTACTTTCATTTTTTGTTTTTGGACTGGTTCAGACATCTGCTTTTCAGATCAAATGTTCTTATTTGGCTTCTACAGTTGACCATGTTTACCCTGGCATTCGATGAAATTTTGCGTTTTCTCACGTTAACCTTCAGATTTTTTTTTTCCTTCTTGGAAAGAGTATACCTAAAAGACTCAATGATTTTCATAAAAATGATATATTTTTTTCTTTTTCCAGCTGTAACCTGTCCTCCACCACCCACACCTACATTTGCGACACTTAGTGCTTACGAGCCATTGGTTGGAAACAGCACCCTCCATGGAAAGCAGGCGGTCTTCAAATGCTTGCCACAATATGCCATGTTTGGAAACGATACCGCTACCTGCACAGCACATGGAAACTGGACGGAATTGCCAGAGTGCAGGGGTAAGTGCTATGATAAGAGAAAATGATTATGATCATATAGTTTGCATTTTTGAAAACTGTCGAACATTCTGCTATCATTGAGGGTTTCAAATGACCCTGTTTGGCTGCCTTCAGGTGACCTTGCTCAATAGATGTTTGTGGCCTCTACCATGTACCAGGCAGGGTGCTAGGTGTTTGGGATACCAGAGGGATGAGACCTGGCTTCTGACCTCAGGGAAATAATATATAATACAATGAACTGCCTGGAGCTGTCGGGGAAAGCTTCCCAGAGGAGGGGCTTGGAGGATGAGTGCATAATGAAAGGAAGGCATGTCACACGGGGCATGGAAAGTCTGGAAGGTGTGAAGGAACAGGCAGTGTGCACAGAGGGCTGGATTGCGGTGAGGCTGGTGAAGAGAAGCTTGAGTTAAACTGGGGTGTCCTAGGAGGTAAAGGTAAAAACTGGGTTGCAGTCAGATTGTTAACAGCTTTTACCTAAATTTCAGAATCATAAAAATATTTGACATTAAAGAATTATGCAAATTCTTCCTCTTTGAATTTGACCTAGCATCACTATCTTTAAATTTGTCAATTGCATAATAAGTAGACACATTGGAGAATTTATCGTGCACACAAGGAATTATACCAAGGACTATTAACTTCTCCTCTAGTTGATATTTTAGACATCTGTTGAATGATTCAAAACATAAGTGCTTTTTAGCATGGGGAAACTACCAGTAATAATACCTAGAACCGTTTGGGGACTTAACTCTGGGCTGGGCACTGGTCTCCTGCTTTGTATATATGATCTTATTTAAATCTACCAGGTCCTATTCAATAGATACTTAAAAATGTATCTAGATGTATCAACTGTCAACATGTTGTGACATTCTGATTCCTACCCCCTCCAGATACAATTTTCCCGAACCATCTGAAAATAAGCTGTATACATCATGACATTCACCCATAATACTTCTCCTGTATTATCACTGTACCCAAGACAGTTAACATATTTCTAAGTATTAACAACAATAATTTGAACAATTATAATAATATGAACAATTAGAATCATTCCATATGTAAATTTTTCTAATTGATCCAGAAGTATCCTTTACGTATGTGTTTTATTTTATGTGAGAGCTAACCGGGAACCACACATTCTGATTGGTTGTCATGTCTCTTTAGCTCCTTTAATGAAGAACGGTCCCCTGCCTTTTGAGTTGTCTGTCTCTGACATTTTTGAAGAGTACTGGCTAGTTGTCTTGTAGAATATCCCAAAATCTAAATGTGGTTGATTTTTTAATGCATGATTAGATTAAAGTCATAGAATTGGTTAAGAATTCATTTCATCACATGTTGGTCCATTACTGGTCATGTTTAGTTTGATCCCTTGGTCAGGTGGGGTGTAGCAGATGTTTTCTTAATAAAGACTCTCTCTCTCTTTGGAATTAGTAAGCTACCTGTGGGTGATACTTGGCAATTGTGTGGAAATGCATGCTCTAGGCATTGTTTTTACATCTACTGATGACCCAGTTATGACATTGCTGGTTGCAAAACTGTGACTTTCTCATTCTGTTTGTCCTACATTGACTAACTGGCATTCTTCTCCAGAGAGGAGCTTTTCTTCCATGGACTACTTTTTTTTTTTTTTATCCTCACCTGAGAACATTTTTCCATTTTTTGTTCAGATAGAGTAGGAGGAAGAGAGAGAGAAACATCCATGTGAAAGGGACATATCAAGTGGCTGCCACCCGCACGACCCAACCAGGACCGGGGACAAACTGCAAGCGAGGTACATGCCCTTAGCGGGAACCAAACCCAGGTCTCTCTGGACCGCAGGCCAACGCTCTAACCGCTGAGCCAAACAGGCCAGGGCTTTTAGTATTATAGACTCATAGATTCTTTTTCACTTAATGTGTGGAAGAGCTAACATTGAACCAAGCAGTCCAACTCTGAAGTTTGCCTCTTAAACTACTTCATTAATCTACTTCCCAAGAGCTCTGTGCTCTGGCTTCACCCTTGCTCTCTTGTGTTGCGGTAAATAGGTATGTGGGTTTTGGGGCTCTGCTGTTGGGGATCCTCAAAAGGCCTGAAAGAAGCATCATTTTTCTCCTTCATATTTTGTGCTGGTTTCTTCGATAGTCTGAAGATTATCATAAAAATTAGATTCAACACTTAAATCCAAATAATGGTGTGCTAGTTAATTTTATGGTATATTGATGAAAAGAGACAGACTTATTTTATTCTTTCAAGCTTACCATCTTAGACTATATAGAGACGAAGTTCACAATAAATAATACCTTATGATTATGTGAAACCCAAAGAACTTGGTAACTCGTTTATATACTTTCGGGTTTGTTTCTTTTTTTAATATCCAGGTTCCCATGAGTATAAGACAAGGGGGTCAGAATTAAGCACCAAGGTACCTAGAAATTGCATTCTAGTCATAGGAACATCCAGTGATCCACAGTACAAGGGAGATTAGAATGTAACTATGTATTCCATGACTCCTGGACAATATCACTATGTATACTAATATGCCTTGCTGAATACACTTTTTAGAAGTAAAATGCCCATTCCCAGTAAGACCGAACAATGGATTTGTGAACTATCCCGCAAAAGAAGCACTGTATTACAAGGATAAAGCCACATATGGTTGCCATGATACCTATGTCTTGGATGGCCCAGAAGAAGTCGAATGCAACAAATTTGGAAACTGGTCTGCAGAGCCAAGTTGTAAAGGTAAGAGATGTGGGTGAGGTCTTAAAACATCTCTGAATTGATCCAATGGATCACTTTTACTTGCCATTTTCTCAGCAAGCCTGTTTGAAATGAAAATGTATGAACTAAACAGATCCTTTATAAGCATTGATAATACCGTGGAACATTGTGTGGGATTCTATAATGCTTTGAAGTCTTTGCCTGTGAGCATCCATTTCTGCATGGTTGTGGTCAAGACTCTTCTCACTGTTGCGGAAACCAACCACATATTCGAGCTAGTTCAAGGAAATGGGGGATTAATAAACAGGGGCAACCGGCAATCAAATGGACATTGAAAAATAGGAAATGAAACGCAGCCATTCCTCCTAAGAACTGGAGCTGAAAGTCAGGAATAATTATCACTTCTTTTCCTATCTCGGTGGCCTCATGGTCTCTCTCATCTCCATGTTTCTCTGCTTCCTCACCTCAAACCTGGCGGGATTCTACATCAGGACCTTTCAACTGAAGGATTCGTCACTAACACATCTTTTTCCTGAGACACTTGCTTATTTTGAGTTAGGTGTTTATTCTTGATATGGTCAGTGTCATGCAAAGAACCGCAACGTAGCACCGCATATCTGCTCAGGTTGCTGGGGCGGAAGAGTGTAAGCAGAAAAGGAGATTAAGCCACAGGCAAAATGATGTATGGCGAGCATCTTAGGTTGGAGTCCCCTAGAAGCAGAGCCCGAGACAGGGGTTCAAGGGCAGTTGATTCATTAAGTGAGTGTCAGGAGAAAGAGGGAGGCAGGGAGGATGGAGTAGGAGACTGGTTCTCCAACTTCACTGTGCATCAGAATCCCACGGAGTTTCCGATGTGGTAGATCTGGGATAGGACCTGAGAATTCGCATTTCTACCACGTTCCCAGGTGCTGCTGATCCTGCTGATCCAACTACGTTTTGAACAAATATGTGGTCTCAGCTAGAGTCTAGCCTCAGTTTCATCTCCTTGGGAGCTCTGGACCATGAATTCTACCCGGAGTTGATCCCATAAGAGGCAGAGGGACCTGCTTTCTGTATCTCCTTGTCAGTTAGTCACTGGCTGTGAGCTGCTTCCTTCTCTCACCCTGGGGCTGGGACTGATTTGCATTACCTCCCGGGAGAGGTGGCTTTCTTAGGCCCAAGGTAATTTTTCGGAGAAAGGAGCACTTGTGAGCTGCTATCAGCCAACCCCCACAGTGGCTGGTGGGTGGGTGCATCAGCTCAATAAATGGGGTCTGCATGGGCCAGTATAGGCTTACATGAAATGACAGTATCTGGTAGAAGTTCCTGTTCACTGAAGCCCAGAATCTGAAGCTTCTGCTCTGACCTTCTTATGTAGCTACTGTAGGGGACGAAAGGCCTTTTTGGAACCCATGGCTAATGGTTCTATTGGTAAAGAATTGTTATTAGCAATCATATTGATGTTATTCACTATGTCCAGTCTTGAGATCTTCTTGAGCAATTCATTTGCAGGTGTACTCAGCTACAGATTCAAATGCTACATTCTTTTTAAGAAACACAAACAGAATTCCTATGTCTTGACTACAAATATGGTCTTTTTCAGCATCCTGTCAAATATCTGTTAAAAAGGCTACTGTGATATTCGAAGGAGAGAGAGTCAAGATCCAAGAAAAATTTAAGAACGGAATGCTGCATGGTCAAAAAGTTTCTTTCTTCTGCAAAAATAAGGAAAAGAAGTGTAGTTACACAGAGGATGCTCAGTGCATAGACGGCACCTTTGAAATCCCCAAATGCTTCAAGGGTAAGTCACACACTGGACCTTTTAACTAGGACTTCCATTTGCCCCTCATTGGACCACAACTTTTATTACATAATGCCCATAAGGAGCCATGTCAATATGGTCACTGGACTTTTATTTATTTTTTATTATTATTATTTTTTATCCTCACCTGAGAACATTTTTCCATTTTTTATTCAGACAGAGTGGGAGGGAGAGAGAGGAAGAGAGAGAGAGAGAAACAATAATGTGAAAGGGACACATCCAGTGGCTGCCACCCACATGACCAACCAGGGCCAGGGACAAACTACAAATGAGGTACGTGCCCTTAGCGGGAACCGAACCCAGGCTTATCTGGACTGCAGGCTGATGATCTAACCACTGAGCCAAACCGGACAGGGCGTCACTGGACTTTTAAAAAGAGATGGGGCCTGGTCAGTGTGGCTGAGTGGTTGAGCGTTGACCCTGCACCAAGAGGTCACCGGTCCGATTCCCGGTCAGGGCACATGCCCAGGTTGTGGGCCTGATCCCCAGTGGGCGGCATGCAGGCGGCGGCCAATCGATGTTCTCTCTCATTGATGTTTCTATCTCTCCCTCCCTCTCCCTTCCTCTCTTTCTGAAATCAATAAAGAAAATAAAAAAATTATAAAAAAGAGAGAGAGAGACGGGGCCAGGAGGAGGAGTGAAATGAAGCAATAAGCTGCATGCTGTTTCTTGATTCGCATAAACATTTTTCTTTCCAATTCTTTTTCTTAATACTTGGGGTTGTGGCTTTATTGATAAACATTGAGGTGAATCATGCTGTCCTGCATAATTCCAAATTAAGTTTGAAAAGTTTAATAATAATAGTAATAATACAAATAAATGGAATATATGCCACCTCTTGGTCCCAAATTATAAAGAATACACCCCAAATTACCAAGTAACTCATAGCAATGGTAATTGCTTAATCGACCTTCTAACATTTATCCCCCTTCCTTCAGCGATTCCTAGAGTTTGAAAGGGATCCACTAGAGCACAGTGTTCATCAGAGCAAAATATTTTAAGGAAGATAATTATGTCTGTGTGCGACAGACAGCAGCCAGCAGTTCGAGCTGCCCAGCATGTACGGTTTCAGGGTTAGGATTTACACATCTTCGTTGTGCGAAGGAAGAACTGGCAGTGGCGGAAGCTATTGGCGCTAGGTCTAGGAACGGTCGGTGAATGCGGACAGCCCTGTATCAGCAGGCTGGAGAACAGAGTTGGGAGCCGATGTAGACAAGAGGAGGAGGGCCTGAGAAATGGCCAGCTAGAGAGACAGAGGGAATGACAAGTAGCAGATAATACCCACCTCATAGGTTGGATGATTAGAAATATTAAGCATGCTATTGAGTACCGCAAGGCTCAACCAAGGACAGTCATTATCATTACAGAGTTGGAAATGCACTGAATAAATTGTTGTTCTTCAAAATAGAGCAGAGCCCTGGTGGGATGTTCAACACCCAAACTGACAAAGCACCATAAGCCTAGTACAAGTCAGTAGAAAAACTATTAGAAGAGGCTAATTAAAAAAACAAAAACACACGGAGCTTTGTTGACATATTCTTTCAGGCCGTCCTCCCTCCCAGGCCTGAGACAGATGCCACACGGCTTGTGCGTTGGAGAATAAACACAGGGCCGAGGCAGTTGTGTGTTGTTTTTAAATTTTAATCTTGACTCTCGGAGTTATATAGAACCTTTTATTTTCTCTCCTGGAAATGAATGCCTAATCATTTCCCTGATGCTTTCTAGTATCGCGTAAACCTTACAAAAAATGGCTTTGCTCATATAATCCAATTTATTCTGCACACTTGTAAAATGTCCTTGATGTGTCGTAGCCACTTAGCAAAGTTAAGAAATGGTTGTTTCTCACAGAATGCTTATCTTTTCCTCCCCAAACAGAACACAGTTCTTTGGCCTTCTGGAAAACGGACGCGTCCGATGTCAAACCGTGCGAAGCTGACGCTTAGATTCAAAATCAAATGTCCTGTCTGTGTTTGTCCGAGAGACCTAATGGAAGTGGAAAAAATAAAGTGACTGAATGCATGTCCTTGCCAATGCATCACAGCTTCTCCTGGGCTTTGTTTTAGCTGTGTCACCTGGTTCAGAACCCAAACATTAGGAGCATCACCATGTCATGGCTGTGTAAACAACTATCCGGGGGACCAGGTTCCCCTTTCCCTAGTTCTGTTCTCAAATGCTTTCGCCTAAAACAACTCCAGTTCCGTACTTTTCATAGAATGGTCCACAACCCCCCGCGTCGGCACCCCCTCCTGGTCCTTATTACCGAGAAGAAATGCGTCCCAGAATTTGTGAGGATGGCCCAAGGATCTGCACTGTTCAACCGGTCCCCACGTGTCATCATTCTAGAGTTTGAGCGGCCTGGGCACGCAGCAGTAAGCATGGGCTTCCAGGTCAGGGGGAACTGGATTTGAACCCTTGGTGTTTGGTTTACGAAATGCCTGAAACATATCTGTCCGTAGTCACTATGATCCCGTGCTCCCTCAACGCCGCTCCTTGGCTCGCATTCCCTTCCCTGCCCTCCTCTCCTCTGTGGCGGGAGAAACCTACCCCAGGCGCCAGCTGCCTCCCCTCTGCCTGTGACAGCGCTGAATGTGGCTGGGAAAAGGGAGGAAAACTCCTAGTCGGGCAAATAGGCCCCACTTTCAGTTCATCAACACAAATGCTGCGTCAGCTCTCGGCTCCGCCCCGGAATTCTACCACTTTTCTTTGGGTGGCTCACTGCCCTGCACCCCAAGGTGGCTCTTTCTCTTCCCAACCCTCCTCAAGCCACCTCTCTCTTCCCCACTCTCGGCTGATGACCTTGCTCCTTATTTCACCCAGAAAATAGAAAAGACCTTTTAAAAAAAAATCTCGACACTATCAAACCCATCACCTTATCAGTGCCTGTGCCAGGCACTCTGCCCTCCATCTTGTGATGAGGGGTGAACCTGAGACCCACTGCTGGCCCCCCAACCCTCTTTCTGTGGAGCTGAGGGTTGGTTTTGAAGAGGGTGTGGTGCCTCCCCCTTTTCTTAAACCTAAAAGCTCTTTTTGGGGATTTTGCTGAACAAAAGAGCCATCCACCCTGGATTTCCTCCCTTAGCACAAAGTTTTCTTTAACTTGTCACAGAGTAATTAAAGAACCACTGCTTTCTTTAACGTGTCACATATTCATTCTAAAATGGACCTCTTCCTGTCTGGCTGGTGTGGCTCAGAGGTTGAGCGTCGACCCATGCCCCAAGAGGTTGCCAGTTCGATTCTCGGTCAGGGCACGTACCCAGGTTGTGGGCCCGATCCCCGGTGGGGGGCATGTGGGAGGTGGCTGATTGATGTTCTCTCTCATCGATGTTTCTCTCTCTCCCTCTCACTTCCTCTCTTTCTGAAATCAATAAAGGAAAATAAAATAAAATGGATCTCCTCCTCGCCCCACCTAGCATCTAGGAATGCAAAGACAGTGGTAAGAGGTATAGCACCTCCCCCTACCCCAGACACAATCACTGGGTTTGCTCCAGAATAGGAGAGAATGTATTTTTGTACCTCTCTTTTATTGCAAAGTCTTTCACAATTTCATGGTATCAAAATATATAAATATATGAACTTGTTAAATTACTCACTTTCTCGGAGCTCCCTGGGAGGGAACCGACAGGGCTGATCACAGGTAGAGCAGTGAAGGTAAGTAATGAATTCTCTCGGTGTCCGGTGGGTGGTAATTGGGAGCCGTCCTGATACAGACCCAGCCGCAGGCCTTTTGCGCAGTCTCTGTGGGCTCCTCTATAAAAGTTCCCACCGGGCTTTTCTCTCCTTTCACAATTACCATCACCTGCTCGGATCAACTGAGGCATGTTAATACAGATTTTGAAGTCCTGTAGCCCAGCTCACACCTGATGAATGAACAGATTCAGTGGGGATTTTTAAATTTAAGTATTTATTACTTATGACCTTTATTAGGGGTATAACCAGTAGGACATGGGATCAGTCAGAATGGATTGCGATCCTGGACTGGGGAGGGTGGAGGTGGGGTCCGGGCTGGAGGCCTCCAATGTCCCAGGCATCACCCTTTAGTTGTTAGACTGCAGGAGTGCGGGGGAGGGGGGCCTTATGGGAAGAGCCGGTAGCCTCACTGTGGTTGGCACTCAGAGCGCCTGGGCAACAGCTATGTGCCAACTGGTGAGAAAGCTTTCCAGTGCTCTAACTCACTGAGTGCCTGGCCGTGCCTGCTTCCAAGAAGGATTTGGGACAACACTGTCGAAAGAATATAAACAACATGAAAATAAACCCCACACTCCAAAACCAAAACAAAACAAGCACACAGATTTTGTCGTTTTATTGTTACACCATCTTTTTAAGTCTTTATTTTTTTTAAAAGCAGTTTTGGGTTTACAACAAGATTGAGAGGCAGGTGCAGAGATTCACCAGGGCCTGCTGCCTTCACTTCCCACAGGGAGACCTTTTTTCACCAAAGATGAACCTACGTGGACACATCATCATCACCCAAAGTCCATAGCTTACCTAGGGTTTGTCTCTTGGTGTTTTTATACATTCTATGGATTTGGACAAATGTATAATGACATATATCCACCACTACAGAGTATTTTCACTGCCCTAAAAATCCTCCGTGATCTGCCTATTCGTCCCTCCCCCACACTCGAAGACACTGGTCTGTTTACCGCCTCTACAGTTTAGCCTTTTCCAGAATGTCATGGGGTTGGCTCACACAGCATGCAGCCTCTTCAGGTTGGCTGCTTTCACTTAGAAACATGTATTTAAGTTTCCCCCATGTCTTTTCATGGATTGATTGTTCATTTCTTAGTGCAGAATAATATTCCATTGTCTGGATGTACCAGTTTATTTGTTATCCATTCAATTTCTGAAGGACATCTTGGTTGCTTCCAAATTTTGGCAATTATGAAGAAAGCTGCTATAAACATCCCTGTGCAGGTTTTTACATGAATGTAAGTTTTCAACTCTTTTCAGCAAATACTAAGGAGCATGATTACTGGATCATATGCCAAGAGTAGGTTTGTTTATTGAG